GTGGAGCAACAAAAAYGAGGAATTAAGACCAAAGTGTTGCAGTTTTATTTTAAATAGACTATAAGTGAATGATTTAGACGTGAAAAAGAAGGATTTAAAAGCATGATATGATACCTTTAACACTCACGTGGCCCTCTGTGAAAACGAGTTTGACAACCCTGCAGTAATTCTTTTGAAATTGTTAAACATGAGGAGAAATGCTCCAATGTAATTTTTGCAGCTCTGACCTTCAACTCTTTCCTGTGACTTATACATTTTCTATAAGATCGTGACACTTTGTCAGCTCATTAATATTTATTACAGCTGCTTCCTCTGTGACCTTTGTTGACACTGATTAAAAACATTGATGTTTACTGTTTAGCTTACGTAAGAGAGGCTTTAAATTGTCCACAAATGGCTTCAAGTTGATTGGAAAAAAGAAAGTTGGATCGATGTGTTTGATCCAGCAGACAGCTGCTGATTTGTTTTTGACAAAAGGCTACGTCTCTTGTCTGCATGTTTCAAAGTGACACTGATTAACTGAGTGGATGACWGCGTGTTTTGGATTTGGCTCGTGTTGGTGGAAAAATGAGCGGATGGATTGGAGGCAGGAATAAATAGCACACCGTTCTGTGTGGGGAGCGACGACAGAAGAGCTTTCCCTCGGCCATTTACTGTATKTTCCTGCCAGGCTGTTGTCGTCTCCCCTGCAGCAAGGTCCCCACTCCAAGCCTCATCCGATGAACTGCTTTAGTGGGAGTTACACTCACTSRTACACGTTTTCATTTACAGTGCACWCACACAGACCAAGCTTCAGMTCAGSTTTCTTCTCTTTTTAATTTGAATACAGCAAACTTATGCAAACTACTCCYCAGGCCTCAGTCCTACTCGTCCTGCTCCAGCTTACATTTTTTATCAGCTAAAGCTTCAAATGATGACTTTCTTTGTTGTGAGTGACCTCAGGAAGCAATATTCCCCCTATGGTTAGAAAACAGAGAAGACAACAGGGCACTTTGTCAGCTCAGACTGATGTATTATTGAAGTCTGTTCAACGATTGGATGGACTGAGAGGCAATAAAACTGTTAGAAGCTGCTGCAGTCCTCTGAAAGATGTCAGGGGATCGTTTAATTTGAAGGACTCATTTTCAGAYGGTTGCTATGAAACCCTCTGACTTTTCTGTTGCATCTCAGGCATTTTGACTTCAATATTTGTGTCTGTTTGCTTTTTAGAAAAGTAATATTTACTTCACTTTGAAAAGAGGGGTTTATATGGACTCTTGAAGGATTTTTTGCTCTCCATCCATCCATCCATCCATCCATCCATCCATCCATCCATCCATCCATGCAGTAGCCAATCCACCCATCCATCCATCTATCCATGCAGTAGCCAATCCATCCATCCATCCATCATCCATCCATCCATCCATCCATCTCTAACAACCTACCAAAGCAACGCCCTCATAAGGATGATTCTCCGATCCGTCCATCAGATCAAATGTTCCTTTTTAATATTTTCAATAATTTAATTTTTGACCAGATACCACATCATCTTG